ACTCAAGACGAGCAAAACACCGTCTGGGAAGTGTCCAGAGCAGTCCTCTGGAGAGCCCTGAGAAGACGGGCCAAAGTTATTTTTGGGGCAGGGAGCCTGCTGAGGACTCAGTGGGGAAGGGGCTGAATGACCCGACACATTGGGTCAGCTATCTGGACGGCTGTCGGCTGCAACCCCACTTTAGTAGTCGCCTGGGAGGTGGGGAGCCCAGCACGTGTGAGTCTGGTCCAGGGCAGTGCTCTGGGGGTGAGGACCGTGCATCCAGGGAGGGAGGCAGGCACTCACAGGGGTCTCGACCTCCCTGAGCCTCAGTTTCCTTATCTGCAGAGTGGACACCAGAGCTGCCGGCGCCCAGTGTGACCTTGGTCAGACCCACACCTGGCTCTCCTTTGCTCCTGCTCCAGGACGGGGTCACACACCCAGGCCTGCCTGTCCCTCCATCCCTCTGAGCTCACTCATCATGCCCACGACCTGGGGCCTTGCAACTCCTCTGCCTGGCCCTGTTCCCCCAGATCCGGCCAGGGCTGGGTGGTCTCCCTCAGGGGGCTCCTGTAGCCTGTCCTCCGGGTCCTGGTCCTCCTGTGCTTCCAGGGAGTGTTTCATGGGCTTTCCTGACAGGACGTCCTGACAAGGGAGGGCACCGGAGCCATCTCTTGTGTGTTCCTAGAGGTCTCGTGGATGCTTGGCCTCATTCCTGCCATTTCCTCCTTTGCTATTTGTTGGTTTTCCCTTTCATTTGGGTTAGGCCACAGCTATTCCTTGGGGTTCCTTGGGGTTCCAATTAACATGACCAAGTGATGTGAGCCCAGAGCAGCGTCACGCCCATGGGGTCCTAGCATGCCCCCCTACAGCTCCAGGGCATCCCCTTCAGTCACCTGTGTCACAGAGCTGCAGAGCATGCATCCTGGGTTCAATAACCTGCGCTAAGCCCTGGAGGAGATTTTTTTCATACAGTATTCTCTTTAGTCACAGGGAAGACAAAAGCAGCACACTGTTGACAACTGTCATGAATTTGTGTTCACCAGAGCTCTTTCTGTCCTCCTCCAGCTCTGAGTTCCCATATAATGTCCTTTGGATGAATCAAAAGGATTCCCCTGATGCAGGGCACATCTAGTGACCAAGTCCTAGACCTGGGGCTTGAGGGCTTTCCCTCCAACAGTCCTGTTGGAAGTTCAGCCACGAGGCAGCACTATGGAGAAGAGGGCCTTCAGGAGGGGGTTGGGCCATGAGGCTGTACATCACAAATGGGACTTGTCTGTTTAGAAAACAGTTCCTACGCATCCTGCACAAGGCCTACATTGTGTTGACAACAAATGTAATTAAGGCTTTTATTATTGCTATGAATTTGCGTGTGCAGAGACCTTAGTGTCTTTCCCCGTCTCTGAATGTCCAACGTCATTCAGTTCAGCATGAGAGACTCCTCTCATGAAGGCAGGTCCAGGGGTGTGGTCACTTCCTTTTTGTTTCCCTGTGCTGTGATTTGAAGAGGGTGTCCTTTCAAATGTGCCATTGAAACTTTCAATGCCAATGCATCAGTGTTGAGCGGAGGGCCTTCAGGAGGTGGTGAGAACAATGCTCTGCCTTCCTGGGTGAGATATGCACCTTACAGCGAGACCTTGTCTAGCAGGCAAGGAGGTCCAGGTTCCACCCTCGACACCAAACATGCATGCACGGTCACAGGCACAAACACACTGCTTAGCATGGAGATAACTATCTCTACTTCTTGTCGGTTGGGAGGCTGAGGCAGGGGGATTGCAAATTCAAGATTAGCATAGGCAAATTATCGAGACCCTTTTTCAGAAGAAAATAGAAAGATCTGGGAAAGTAGATCAGGAGTAGAGCTTTTGCTAACATGTATGACATTCTGTTTCCATAACTATTACCAGGGAAGAAAGAACAAAAGACAATGAAAAGGGTTTGAAGGAGTGACTTCAATCCTCTGCCCTTTCAGCATGGGGACCTGGAAACAAGGTACCATGCTAGTACCCCTAGGTAACTCAGAGGGGCTAAAGGGCACAGGCCTGCAGCAGAACTGTCAAAGGCAGAGTCCTGTGCCGCTGTTAGAGGATAAAGCATCACCACTGCAAGATTTAACTCCTTGAGAATTCGGTCAAACAACAGAACAAGCAGCAGCCCCTAAGCCGCTCTGGGGGAGGGCAGCCGCTCCACCCCTGCTGCCCTCGTGGCCTGCGACATGGGGCGTCTTTGTGCCATCTGGGTGTCTCCGCAGGATGAACTCGGACTCATGGCTCCTCCTGTCCATGATTCCCTATGAAAGTGGCGACCGGGCACCATCAGTGTCAGGTCACGCACAAGGTCCGCCTTTCTGCCCTGGGCAGCTCAGGGTCTTGTCCCGTTGGAACAGTTTGGGTCACATGTTGCTGTTGGGGGACCTCAGTAGGTCTCTGAAGTCAGCAGTCCCTTACACATTTATGCTAGGACATTACTACCTGCTCTTCCAAGGCTGCAAGGAGGAGGCCAGAGAATGCAGTATCTGATCACTGATGGAGCACAAGTTCATCATGAGATTTTTGAGAAATGGAAACGGAATAAGAAGTTATTGAAAAGCATCTCTCCCCCTAGAGTCATTGGCGAAAGAGCACGGGAGAGCAGGGAAGCGGTTGGTGTCCTAGGAGAGCCCCTAATGTCTGCTCCAGGTGGGGCGCAGGGGCCCACTGATGTCCATGTGTCTTCAGGTGGCCTCCTGCCTGAGGAATCTGGGAGGCAGTGGCCAGAGCACGTTGCACTTCTTCCTCCAACAGCTGGCCCTGTGCCATCCATCTTGGGACACAGAGAAGGGAAGGAGCCAGGTGGACCTAACCCTCGCAGCACCCTGCAAATGTGGAAGTGCTAATTTGTCCTTTTAAAATGACACCAATCAAAGCACATGTGAAATCACAGGTGGCACTGCCCCCCTTGGCTCCACAGATGTCCTGGCTGTTGCCATCCACTGAGTGGAGTCACGTGTCCGTAAGTCTAGTGGTGGTGTGTGCCCTCCTCAAGTGGGAGCAAATCAGTTCTGGCATCCGGGACTTGTCCTGGGGGCCTGCACAGCAATACAGCCAGGGGACACAGGTGGTCATCCTCCTGGCCACTCCTCTCCAGCCCCTGTTGGTGTCACGGGTAGAGCCAGGGAACTGGTACCAGCGAAGCTTGCTCAGTGGAACAGGAGCTTGGTTCCAATGTCAGGGGCTGGGAGAACAGGCTCTCCAGCCTTCAGCACTGCCACTTGGCCAGCAGCTGGGCGGAGGGGCCACAGGCTGGGAATTGGCTGCTGGCAAGCAGGCTGCACAGGAAAATGGCAGACAGGTTGGGTCTCCCACTGGCCCTCTGCTGTGATGTCTGTGCTCCTTCTGTGGCTGCCCGTGTAGGACAAAAGGGGCCAGGAGCAAAGAGCAGGTTGCTGGCACCCCTCCTTGGGCCCAGAGTCCAGTTGGAGGGGTTGGAGGGCCACGGGTAAGGCCCTGCCTCCAGCTACCCAAGCTTCAGCTGGACCTTGCAGCCCACCCAAATGGGTTTTCTGGTGGCCCAGCAGGAGGTAGGTGGCCATGGCCTCATCGAATTGACCCATCGCCACTGACACCCAGGTCTCCTGCAGCCCGTAGCCCAGGTCCAGCATGGCCAGCAGGATGGAGGTGTCCGGGCGCTTGGGGAGCAGCTCGGCGGGAGGACTCGGGCAGCGTTCCCCATCCTGGCTCAGCCACGGGTGCCCCAGGATCTGCTGGAGCGTGGGCCTGTGCGCGGGCTCCAGGGTCAGCATCCAGGACACCAGGCTCTGCGCCTCGTCGGACAGGTGGAACGGGAGGTGGTACCTGGCCTGCAGCACCTGCTCCTTGGCCTGCTCATAGCTGGCCCCGGTGAACGGGACGCTGCCCGTGAGCATGAGGATCAGGAGGACACCCAGGCTCCAGACGTCCACCGCGGGGCCGTCGTAGGGCTCTCGCCGGTGCAGCTCCGGGGCCCAGTAGGCCACGGTGCCGCAGAGCAGGCCCAGCTTCTCTCCGGCCCTGAACCTGCAGGCCAGGCCGAAGTCGCACAGCTTGGCGCGGCCCGCGGCATCCAGCAGCACGTTGTCCGCCTTCACGTCCCGGTGCGCGATGCCCTGCGCGTGGCAGTAGCCCACGGCGCTGGCCACCTGCCCGAACAGCATGCGGGCCTCGTCCTCCCACAGGCCCACGACCTCCGGGATGTGCTGGCCCAGCTGGCCCCCAGCCATGTCCTCCATCACCGCGTAGGCAGTGCCGGGGGTCTCCACGTTCTCCAGCAGCTGCACCACGTGCGGGTGCTCCAAGCCCTTCATAATGTCCAGCTCCGACAAGACCCAGGACAAGGTGGCCCCCGCCCCCTTCCGCAGGACTTTCACGGCCACCTTCGTCCCCGTCAGGATGTGTCGGGCCAGGAAGACCTTGGCAAAGCTGCCCTGCCCGACGACCCCCAGGGGCTCATAGCGGCCCGTGAGGGCTTCCTCCAAGGAGGAGCAGGCCGCGAGGTCCCGACACACCCTCCGCACCACACTACGCTCACTGCTCTCTATAGACATCATGAAC